CCTCATTTTGTCTGCGTTCACCGCTAGCGGATAACCCAGCTGGTCAGACTTCCCCGTTATTGCTTCTAGGTGGTCGACAAGCTCATAGCTGGCCTGCATAAATCAACTTTCCCCATCCGCCAACGTTGGACCACCTGGGCAGTCTATGGCCTTGCACGCCTTGCAGTGTCATGTTCCAGCCCCTTGGTTGGTCCGGAAAGCAGCCCCTTGCTGCAGGCTAAGGTACAGTGGCCTTGTTGCCAACCTCACTCTGGTGCGTGCCACACAGGACCAAGGTTGCAGGGTCCAAATTGTTTGGTGCGTTGCTTCCTTTCGACAAGAAGTTCTGGAAGGGAATACCCTGCGCCTTACCATTGAATTGTTTCCCCTTGTGTGACATGTGCCCAACCTGCCTTCAATCTGATCTACTGGGGTTATTTGCCACCTGGCAACGTAGCCTCTTGCCTGTTCCTCCCTGCTGCGCCCTTGTGGATTGGCCTGTGGCACACCGTTCACTGTGTATGCTTACAATGACCTCTTGGCTGTAAGAGCTGCACACCCACCCGTCCACTGCAACAAATACCGTGCCAACTGGCCAATCAACAAGAAAACTAACTAAAGGGACAGCAAAAGTCAGTCCATGAACAACCACTTGGACTTACCAAATTTAGATCAAGTTGAAAGGCCGTTGCTTCCAAGAGTAGCAGGAAGAGTTCAGCGCCTAGTTGGGTGGAGTCGATAAGATACCACTCTCCGGAGTGGTTACCTTGAGAATCGGGCTTTTGTGCTTTGTAATGAACAGGGCTTTGTAGCTGACGTCTGCACTAAAATTCAAACCGCCTTCCCTCCCAATGCAAGAGTGCTTCTTAAGTACAAGTGTCTTACCTTTGAAGGTTATCTGGAGTTTCGCAGGCTTCTTTAAAAACACACCTAAGACCCAAAAAGAAATTTATAATCCCCCTATAGCTTGAATTTCCATGGAATTTTTACAGGGGATTTGGTGACGCCCCCGCATTATAAGCACTGGCTCGGAGGGGTTGGAGGGGTAGGGGGACCGCTACCTTGGGCAGCTATAGCGTCTTTTTTCTTTGGTTGAGCTTGCTTTCCAATCTACCTGTCTTCCGTCTTTAAGCCCCCAAAGGCCACCTTCCACCTGCTTGCTCGTGCCACCCAAGCGGTCTTTGCCTTTCAAAAGCAAGGCCTTGGGGCCACTTGTGCATTTGCTGGCCAAGTTGCTGCCTTTGTCCTTGTTGCGCACCTTTCGTCAATTTTAATAGCGTTCGGTTCAATGGCCAAGAAACGTGTTAGCCTCTTACTCGTTTGCCAGTGCCGGATGGCATAAGTATCTTTCCTGGAAATGCGAGGATGGCCTTCTATTGGACGAGCCCTGGCCACGACGTGTCAAGTTCCGCGGGTGGTTTAATACGATTGTAGATACAAAAGCGCAAAAGCAGTTTAGGGTTCCAGAGTGGCGGGGATTCAAGGGAGATAATTTCAGCCCCAGACTTAAGATGTGTCTGGCCTGCACATGCCATTGTTTGGGAGGCAGCAGGATAGGCGGAAACCGCGCAGTGTTGATTTGCATATGAGGCTGCCCCTCTCCCGAATCGAAGAAGACATCTTCGCAAAGGGGTGCTTCATAGCGAAGGCTGTCAGCAGCGATTCCCGCTAGATGGTCAGCAACTTTGTTGCCAACGCGAGGGACATATGACCAGTGCACCTTAATGGAAGTGTGCGTAAGCTTTTGCCACATTGCATCAAGTTTTCGCACAAGGTCCTCCCTGTGGAGTCTCAAGGCTCCAGCGAAATGCTTAACAATGTTAATGCAGTCACCTTGAATGATAACTTCCTCAATTTGATTGCCAGCAGCAAGGAGTAATGCCTTGTCCAGCGTTGCGTCAGCGGCATATATTTCCGCAAACATAGAGTCTGGGCAAGGCTGAAGCGGAATGGCGATCGTGTCGAGAATTACTGGGACAGGCCCAGGTGACCAAGCGATACCACCCGCTCCACCAATACTTTCTTGCACATGGCAGCTGCCATCAAATTGGGCGACAAGGTGTGTATCTTTGACCGGTTTTAATTCCACAATAAGTGGCGTACTAGCAGGGATTGGCCTCAACGCAGTTACTTTTAGGTGCAGGTTGCCGCAGTGACACATTTTGGGCCAAAGAGCGACATTAGGAACACCTAGGGTCTGATACATGGGAGCAAGCAGGTAGTGCTGGGCATCTAAAGTCGCTAAGACATCTCCTATGTTGGCGTTCTTGGGAGAGATGGTAACACCTTGGGCACTTGCTTTGATTAAGGCAGAGAGAGGATGCTTAACCTCGATTGAAAGCCCACCGTCATTGCAACAGGGTTTGCAACGTTCCGTGTCAACCCACCATGCTGGTAACGTTTTGGGAAGCAGCATCCGCGGGATGGCATTCCAAAGGCGCGAAGCAAGCTTGGGTATATTATTGATGTGCTTTGCCCGTTGTGGTTTTTCGCACCATCCAGGGTGCCAGGTACATTGCTCTTCCATGACATACCTTCTCTGTGATGTTACCTGGACAGTGTGGCCCACAAATGCCAAGCCTCTTACTGTGGTCTTAGCCGAAGAATGCTCTGTTCAAGATGTTTGAGTCTGCCACCAGGCAGGGTGGTCTACACTGGTGGAGTCTTTCTGTTGCGAGCCTTCAATACGCTTGAGCATGTGTGTGCCACACCACCGGGTGGATGTCTCTGCTTTAGTTATTGGCACGGATGTAAGTGGAGCTCGGAGACCAGAGATCCTTGCTAATTGCATGCCAAAGGTCCGGTTCGGGTGAAGCATGCCTGTCTGTCAACGAGAAATAAGAGTCAGATAGTTGGTCCTCTTGGACGTGGCGCAACAAACAACTAAGGCGCCTTTTCGCTCGGACAATAAAAGGCCTTGGTAGGCAAAGGCACAACCTCAGCAAGTGTGCTGTTGGATTTCTGATCAACATTGGTCGGAGTATCTGCCTGGAGCTGCTTAAGTAGTGGCTGATGTGAAGAAATGGCCAGAAGATCACTCCAGCTAAATGGTTTTCCTGGGGCTTGGAAAGGAGGCACGAAGGTGCTCAGCAGCCAGACCAACCAAGCCTCCCCTGCAAGTTGGCTTGTCTGTGCCGTTTGCCTTTTTGAGCTGGGTATTGAGCTCCTTGGGGCTGTACTACATTGGAAGAAAAAGGGAGATGCCCTTGGTCAATTGTGTGTTGCCGCTCCGCCTATGCCGATCTTCCGGGTGGAAGGATGTTAAACACGTTATCCAATTACCCTGCTCTTGGCAGAGCGCGCAAACCTGGGTTTAAACCTGCGTTCAAACCTAGGTTGGAGCCTGGGTTGGGACCTGGGTTGAAACCTGTGTTAAACCTCGGTTGGAACCTGGGTGGTGCCGTGAAGGCCGGCAAGTCTTCCACATCGAAAAACTTGCCGGTGGGATCCTAGGGTGCTTGCTGGTACCTTACCCTTCTGGTTTGCGACCGGAGCAGACGTCCTGCTCTTACTTTTCCAAGACTTGTGTTTTTCTTCTTCGTCAGACGATTTGAGGACTCTTGGCCACCGACGTCGAGGTGACCAAAAAATAAGTGCATGTTTGTACCAACGCCACATCAAGTGCTCTTTGAGGGCACTCCCTTGTGTAGTACTTAGCCTTTTCCATCTGTACTCCTATGAGTCCGACGCGGAACATGAGACCGCAGGATTGTGACTGCGAGAATGAGTTCTTCTTCTACAAGTTCACATGTCGTATCCCGACATTTGTGTAAATGGACTCGATATTCCACCGTTGCCCAAAACCAAAACCTTCCTCCAAGCCATTAAGCCCATAGGCGTTGCTTGGCTGGGTTATACCACCATACCCGATACCCGTGGCTATGAGGGTCGAGTTTTTGCCACGCACTGGACAACGTTACAGCATGCAACTAGCTGGTAACCAGCTTTTGATTTTTCACCGAGGCTGTAGCAATTTTTTTTCTTCAGCACCTGGCTTCAGAGCTCTCCCAATAGAGACCAAAGGCAAAAAACCCCACATACGGGGTGCAAAGCCCTGTATCGGGGTGTTGGGTGTTAGCGGAGATTCTTCGATCGCGGGTGCAGGGCATTAAAATACCGCATCTCGTTCAAGAGTTGTATTTGCTTGTCCATGCGGGAAGTCTATTTATTTGAACACTGCATTTTTCCACGATGCGTTGCTTCTGCATTGCCATTTCCTTTTCAGAAGACCAAGCAGTGACGTTTTGCTTTGAGCGATGTTGTGCACACGGGTTTGCCTGAAAAGCACATGTTTCATATGTTGGTGAAGTTCTTGCAGCTCGGCGGCATTTTTTCGCTTCAGCTGGCATGTTGACCTTTGGTGCATCATCGCCAGAATAGTTCCTGTTTCGAGGACTTTCGTGAGCTGCGCGGCTGTTCGAGATCGCGGGTCCTCCGAACATAGCTTCGGAGTCACCAAGACATGCTCCAAAGTGGCTACAAGGAGCCTGGGTCCACAAACGGCTTGTTGGAGGTGCATGCAAAAAGCTAGAAGACACGGAGTTACATGTTTCCTAAGTAACGGACGTTGATCGCGCAGGTGCGCACAAGCTATTCTTGCAGATGCACGACTCAAAGGGGGTGCTGGGGCCAGCGAACCATTCGCTGTGGAGTTTCAGGCTGACAGGTTTGAAGTGAGTACAGCTGCCCAAAATGGGACACCCTCGGAACATCATTTCGGGACGTGGGGGTAAGGTGGAGGGCGGGAGAACGAGTACGAAGCAATCCGATTAAGTAAAACAGGAGCCGGCACAGAGGGACTGTGGTTCTGAGAAACTCGAGGGTTTCTAGCTCGGCGTTGTCCGTGCTGCGGATTGATTGATGTTTTGCCAGCTGCATCTCGCATTGCTCTTCATTAAGCTTTACTGCTTTACGGCTAAGCCTCGATTTGTGCTCTTCTCAAACATGTGCGCTGGTAGTTTGAGGTGTCCAGTTTCTCCCGAATCGAGCATAAAACATCAAACCACAGATGGCATGCGCAGGACTGGTTCAACAGAGTTTGATTTTCCTTCTCTGATGTTCGATGACCCAGACTTCAACTACCTCCAATCTCGCCAGATGTTTCTTGCCGTCAAAGACGACTGCAGGGAGCATTTAGCTGGAGTTAATCTGCACGCAGTCCATATGTCTCTGGAAGGCAAGCAGGCCATGCTGGAACAACGGTTCAAGGTGAAACAGCTCAAGCGAGCCCTACATTCAGCATCTAAGATGGATGAGAAGTATTTCAAAGAGCAGTACCGGCTTACGAGGGAGAAAGACATGAAACACGTCCCAGTGGTGGAGCTTCACATGTTTCCCTCTGACCCGCGAAATGCAACATCAATTTGGAAGGTCCTGGTTGTTCCTCGAGCACGCGAAGTCTTTGGTCGCCGTTTGTTTCTTTGCAAAGCAGCTGACCAATGCGTGGCAGATTTGAACTTTGAAGCCTTGCCACGGCGCTTGCAGACTTGGCTTGGACAATGGGATTCCAACCTCGACATGCGCAGGTCCACCCCCACGGAGGTGATCCTCTTCACAGAGATGGCTGTGATCGCAGGTTTGATAGTGCTGCTTGGAAGTCTTTGTGGAGTCGGCCTCTTGTGGTGGCACAAGCGGCGGCAGCAAGCGCCAGAGATCAAAGCAGCCGTGATGGCTGAGAGGCTCTCGAAGGAAGACTTGCGCAAGGCCGGGACAGATTTCTCCGTTGTTGCAACGACCTGCAGTCACACCAACAGATGTTTCGTACTGTACGTGAGCTCCGAAGGTGTACAAGTGCTGACTGTTCAGGTTTCGCGCCGGCTAGCTCTTCGATTCTTGTGACGATTAGCTGTTTGCTTCGAACCTGTCTCCTGAATTTCCTCTCCTGTTTGTTGCACAAGAGTCGACAGGAGGACAGGACGACAAGACTAGAGAGAAGAATGGACAGGCCAAGGGCCGGCGAGAGGGCTTCTGGATATGAAAATTCTTCTGGATATGAAAATTCAAGAACAGAAGAACTTCTTCACTTTTGGTTTGACACTTTTTCTGTTTTGCAGTTGCCCCTTTTGAAAGCTGCTGAGTAAAGTGTTGCTCTGCTGCCATCCAGGTGAATGTCAAATCGCAAGGATTAATAGTGAAATGCTGTTGCACACACGGAGGACACGTAACCCTTGTTCCAAACCACAACCTGGCTTGTCTCTGTGGCTGTAGGCTCATTGCTTGAGGCCCAGACATGCAGACTTCTGAATCTTCTGAGCCATCAAGGCTTGACCAACGTAAACATCAACATCAACGATGAATTCGGGTCCCGCGCAGCCCTGCTCCACATGAAATCAAAGTTTCAACAACACCCGTCGTTCCAGACCCTATGGCCCTATATTCAATACCTTCCGGAACAACGAAAAACCTTGCCCCTGCTTTTTTGACACCCACCTGTCAAGCCGAAGAACATGCGTCCATATGTGAAGTAACGCCTCTCATATGGCAAATCACAGATAAGTCTGTGCTAAATACTTGTGTTGAGCCTGCTCGGCCAAAACCTGGGCAGGTGTTTCATCTCAGCCGCCATTGTTTCCTGCACGAGAAGGCATGTGACAGCACTGTGTCAAGCGATGCCTTGGATGCGGGTACCAAAGTGGAACTGCGCGAAGTGCAAATCGCTGCGAGAAAATCTACCTGGAGGGCAGTCTCAGGTCTTGATTTGTATGAGATCTTTTGCCAAATGTGCGGCCAGTGCAATTTTGCCGTCTGGGGCTTGATTCGTGCAAAGGAGGTTGAACAGGGTGTACGAGACTGTGGATGGGCACTACTGTATGATGAAACATGTGGTTTCGAGCTGCTGGTAACAGGCGCGCAGGCAGCCAAATACCAGGCTCCAGATGTTCTTGTGCAGCCAATCAGCAACTTCATGACAAAAACCTTGACCCTACTTGTTTCCTACTTGTCGGCGCTGTGGATTCTTCTGGAACACATGCGAGCATGGTTTGGTTGGAGATCCTTTTTGCTCATGGCTGCCTGCCTTCTGGCTATGCATGCACTTGTGTTGAGAGAGCGAAGCCGATCCTTCCTCTTAGGCTTGGATTATGAAGAAGTACTTGAATCCGGTCAACTGCTACGCCTCGGGAATGGGCAGGCATGGAGCTTCAACATGTTTCTAGCATTGCTTGCACTCATTGCCAGCATGCTCGTGGTGAACACTCCACTTCAACTGGCTTCGCTCCCTGCCGGCGTGACGTTTTCATTATTCCTTGCTCTGCATGTCGAGTCCATGCTTTCTGCTATGTCTTCCCTCGAAAGCTGGCGGGCACCTCAAATGGAGCGCTCACAGTTCCTGTGCGTCGACACGAAACAGCTTGGCATCACGGATGAAGGGCCCTTGCAGCTCTCGAAGTCAAGGGCTTTTCGGTGGCTTGTTGTTCACAGCATCCTCCTGTTCACGCTGGCTGTCAGCCTCCTCGTGGCGAACTTACTCATGTTTTTTTTGAATTGGTCTGTTTGCTTGCATGCCGGCCCTTGTTTGCTGCGACGCCAAGCTCCTTAATGGGATGCTTGTCCTACATGTATTCGGGCAGCGATCAGTGTCGTGTGTGGTCCGTGTGAAGTGTCATGTCACAGCTTCTGGAGCATAGTTTCATGAGTGCGTTTGGTCCACAGTGCACACGCTCCAGCTATGACAAGGAGGAAAAAGTGGCCAGTCTCTAGGTCTCCCCCCAGTCCTTACGCCAAAGCACAAACTCCCTGTAAATTCTACGCGCAACTGTGATTTTGCAGGCCCCAAGTAGAGCATTTTGAAGTAATGTTTTCGGCTGCGCAACTTCCGTCTTCGTTCTAGGAAGCAAGGCACGGGAATGATGCTTACTTCTGTTCCAAGAACGTCAGTGATTACCTACGATGTTTACTGCGGTTGAAGCAGGTGTCAACTTGAATTCAAAAGGTGAGGAAACAAGCAGGGACCTTCGACGTTTGCTTAGTTCCAGGAAGCCGGCCACCAGCATGATGCTTTGCTACGCAGGGAAGCCCCCGCGAGGATTGCAACCTAAAGAAATTGCCGATGGTGTACGGCACGGTCCAAGAAAACCAGGCACGGGTATGATGCTTGCTTAGTTCCAGGATGCTTTGTGCTTCGCAGGAAAGCAAGGCCCCACGAGAATTGGAACTTAATACAAATACGTGATGATGCAAGTCATGGTCTTTGATGCGAAATTCGTTGCAGGAAGCCAGGCACGGGCATGATGCTTACTCCAAAAAAGCCAGCCACGTCGTGTTGTTGGGATGGGGGGTGCGGCAATTTCTAGAAGGGTCCAGTGGAGTTCACATGCCCCCCACAAATCCCCGCAGGACACGTTCACCACAGCCGGGCACGTCAAGAACTATATGGCTACTGATAACCTGTACTTGGCCTGACCTATGATGAGATGAAACTCCCTCAGGGGCCCTCCAGCACCAGGGTTCCAGGACCATCCAAAATCCCTTGGTCAAGCCGGTTGGGGCTTGGGAGGGGCAAGGCCTGGGTGAATGGGCTGGCCGATGACTGGCAAGGAACGCCAACAATGAGTTCGTTTGCAGCGGAGCATGGCGAAAAAGGCCAACTCTGAAGAGTCGTCCTGGTGTCAGTTTCGGCGTCTGTTGGGGGTCTGAAATTTTCGTGGAGTAAATGACATGGGGGCCCAGCTTCTGTCATGTTCATTTGGTGCCATTAAGGGGGCATGGAAGAGGGCCGGTACGATAGCCTTGTTTCAAAAGTCGGGCTTTCTGAAAGCCGTTTGAGTCATTACGTTGAAACTCAGGCGAGAAATCTTTGTACCCCCACAGCTGGGCTGGGTCCTAGTAGAATGGCAGAGAAGGTCTTCGGTCCTGGCTGCCTTTTTAACATGGCTTTGGCTTTGTTAGAATTAGGTCGGTCCTGTAGAAGGATTCTTGAAATTCTTGGGCTTCTAAGAATGGATCGGCGTGCTGAGAACGTCGTACAAGGTCGTCCGGTTCTTAGCCCTTGCTGGGGAGTACATGCCAGGGGGGGTGGAGAACAAGTTCATGCCATAATTCTGCCGTGTTACAAACCCATCATGTGGCACGTGTCAACCCGAGCCCGGGGTGTTGCTGGTGCTCTATTGGGATTCCTGCCAGATGCGTGGGGAGCTCGCGCACTACAGCTGGAGCCGTGGATATTTGGTGTATCCTTCAGAAGCTCAGGCTTTGCACAACACGTTGCTCTTGGATGTTCGTGCGGACTCGTTGGAACTGAATCTTCACAAGGGCAAGCACACACGTTCGGTGGATGTGACTGTTGAGCACCCAAGCTTGTCAGACAGTTTCCCTACCAGCCTCGAAGAGCAATCATCGGCAGTGTGCCAAATCTCTTTGCCAAGGGGTCCTGCTTACAGCCGAATTTCGATTCATGCAATTGGTGACTTTGTGAGCACAACGTACGTCGTTCACATTCTTCGGATTGGAGAGGACGTAACGGTTTCAATGTCGAGCCCACTGATGGTTCGCAGTGAAAGGAGCCCTGCATCTCGCAGCTTTCAGGAGGAGAGGCGGTTGTCATTTCAACTTTCCAATCCCCTGTGGTACGTGCCGGACATTAACATGGCAGCCAACTCCACCGTGCAGTTGGCGTGGCGTCCAGCTGTTCTTGCGCCGGTTAGGCAGGATCTTCGTGGGGCACTGATGCCGCACGTCGGCAAATCATGTCTTTGCACGGATGTGCCCGGCTTTGGCCGGTGCGCAGTGGAGGAAGCTCTTCGAGTGGGCGAAGGCGAAGAGATGCCCAGCCTGTGCGTCTTCCAGGAAGAGACCATGTCCGAGGTCCACCCATTGAAATCAGAGTCCAGCATCGCTGGAAATGAATCAGACTTCCTACAGTGGTTGCAAAATGTCACAGTGAGCGGAAAGTCTGTGAGCCTTCTAGCCAGTCCCGAAGGTCGCGACGTAGACATGGAGACAGCAATCCCATTCAGTGTCGTGAACACTAGCGAGGCCACTACAAGCATAGAAAGCATCTTTCAAGTATCACTTCCCGCAAAGTTCTTGACAGGAGAGGGTACACGCATAATTGCCAGCTTCACTGAAGACCGGACCGATGTTGAGGTCACGGACATTCCTGTGATGATCGTGCCCTACCCGCCCCCAGTCACACTGCACTTTCATAGCAGCGCGGGCGAAGCCTTTTTGCTTCCCGATTGGTCAACCACATCTGACCAAAACTATGTTTTTTGTGGTGGGAAGTCGAATAGCATGAGCCTGTTGCGCACCAACATGTCGGATGTGCGATTTTTTGCACAGCGTTTGCAAGGGGAGGGTGGCCTAAACTGCAACCGTGCCACAGAGCGGGAAGAGTGGCTGGAGCTCAAAGCAGTCCGTAAGAACGAGTCCTGCAAAGGCCAATGCCCGCATTACAGCACCAGAGGTGAAGGCTACGATGTTCGCGTGGTCAGATCGCCCGAGGCCTGTCTCGAGGAGGCAATGAAATTGAAGAATATGTCTGCGGTGGTGATGATCCTGCGCAACATGGTCACGAAGCACAGTGCCTTGGGCTTGGGTTTTGTGCAGAATCTTTCTTGGATACTAGGGAGCACTCTTGAGCATGTACTTCCAGACTCCAGACCAAGTCCTGGGCCGGGACATGGTGTCGTGGGTGCGGATGGAGTGTGACGGTTCTGACGGGAAGGCACTTCTGTGAATGGGACGAAGCAGCGTTCACGGAGTGACACTTTCGTGGAGGAAGGCTGGGGCTTGCGTGGTGGATGATACCTCCGTGGAGACGGGGTGACGCGGTGGGTCTGATTGCCGTTTCGTTCGACGCCACCGCTCGTGAGGATCCTTTGTTTCCGCTGATCCTGTTGGCTCACAGATATCGTTGGAACAAGCTGCTTCAGGCACGAGGCAGTTGCATCTGGTGTTGCAAAGAGTGGGGGTCCCGTGCACTGGAGGATAAAACATCATAGGACAGCTCTCAGTTGTTTGGATCGCGCTTCGGCAAAAAATTCGAAAGGCCACTGTGTTCTGCCCTGACATCCCAGCTCCGGCCAGCAACCAGACACGCCCATCTGTGCCGTGCGCTGGGCCCGCAATTGCTTCGGCCGGCGACGAGTGCACCGGCTCTTAGGCCCCTGTTTGGTGGAAGCTTCCTGCCTTGACGGGGGGGAGGGGGGGGGGGGGCGGAAGCGGGGGCGACCTTCCGTCCACTGGGCCTTGTTCACAGATGTTGACAGACTTTCATGGGCGGGGGTGAGGCGACCACATTAACGAAACGATGCTTCCGTCGACCGGCATTCGGGGGTGATGGAGCGTTGACGGACGACGCTGTTAGGGTCCGGGGCTGGAGCCATCTAATTTCAAGGCTTACGCCGTGGACGGGCATCGCCGGTCTTCAGTAATTCCAAGGACTTGTTCTTCCTTTTCCGACGTCAGGAAAGTGGAGTGTTTCGGATTCCCGGTTCAAACAGTTGCAGGGTTTGTAAGCTTTGCAGGCTCTACAGAAGCGAGCCATGCTTTGTGGTTATTGCATCGGCCCGGTGCCGGGTGGGGAAGTCACAAACTATGATTACAATCATGTGGTTTGTTTTTTTTGGGTTGCTGGCTTGACCCATTTTTGGTGCATTTTGTGCATGAGGCGGCTCGAGCTGCCAGTCGCATGTTTGCACCGAGGCCCTTGTTATAATGACTTTGGCTTGTGGGACTTTGCCCTCAGCTTGGAGCATACAGGAGATTGGGAAAAGTCTGTCGAGCACCTTCTGAGGGAGATGGACCCAAACAAAATGTATCAAGATGAGACGCCGCTTCAAGCGGCTGCGGCTAAAGGCGATGTTGCGGCGATGCGCCTGCTTCTCTTGGACGAAAGGATCAGGAAGGAGGCAGGGGAATGCAGGGAAGGGTCAAGTTTAATTTTTTTCAGGAAAGAGACGGGCACTAACCATGTCATGCGCAGGTGGACAAGCAGAACAGCAAAAACGAGACGGCCCTGATGAGAGCCAGCGATTCCTGCCATTTGAAGGCCGTTCAGCTGTTGATCGAGCACGGGGCACAGGTCAACTTATCTCGCGACAAGCGAAAGAACAGAGCCGCCGCTGTGCGGGAGGGAGAAAGACTGTTCGTTGTCGGTGTTCTCAAGCCGGGAAGTTGCTTAGATTGTCTTAGATTGCTTTAAATAACGGCAAGAGCAAATTCCTTCAGGAGGAAAGACTGAAGTGCGAAACCGGACCCACGGCGCTGGTGTCGATGTTGGCAAGTGATTACCGCCAAGTGAAAAGTTGTAACGGTGGTGGGGGAGATGGGGCCCAAATGAGCAAAGTCATGAAGGTGCTCGAGGACAACGGGACCACCCTGAACACATCCATTTGTGACTACAGAGGACGGACGCTAGCACTGTCGTATGTTGATGTATGTTGTTAAGATCCCATGTAAGGCCAATCTGTGCTTGGGCAGATTTCGGCTTCCTTCTCAGTCCTAGCGATTACTGTAACGGCTGGGATCCCGGCAGGCTGGCTCTTGCAAGTGGCATTCAGCCACTACGATCCGCGCCTTCTGAAGATTGTCCTGGACGCAGGGGCCTCTCCACAAGATGCCGTCAAACCATTCGTCAGTTCGATTAAGAAGTCTACAAAAAAGCCTGGCTTCGCCAGATTCCTCGGCGAGGCAGCAGCACTTCTTCTGCACGCAAAGGTGGATCCAAACGACCAGTACCAACAAGGGACTCCGCTTAGCTGGGCTGCCAGGTATTGCCGCGTGGAGGTTGTGCGAAATCTCCTTGTGCCCCCGACTGTGTTGAAGAACGAGACTCGGAGTCTAGCAGAAAAGCAACTACGAATGGGTTGTAGCAAAACCAACAAGTCCGCAAGCAGCGCCATCGCACGACTCCTTGAAGATGGTGTGAAAGGTTCCGAGAGCTGATTGCCAAAAGGCTGCACGCGGCGTCTGAATGCGAGAGCAGACCCGAGCAACTTGCCTCGTCTCAGCGCGAGAAGCAAAAGCAAACCGAGGGAAGCTCATGTAGTTGACAGGACAGAGGTGGAAGTGAGAATCCTTGATATCTGTTGAACACGTGAAGCTTGCGACTTCGCAGCGGATTTGCGTCGCTCAAGGGTAGTGTGAGCAGTGCTTTGCCAACTCCAGTCTTCTCGGAGGCAGGCGCCTTGGCAGTCAAGCAGCTTGTCCTGACTGTTTGGCAAGTGTTGCAGCGCATGACTAAGGTTATAGTTTGATTGAAGGACCGGCGGTGCGAGACTTTGGATGCGCGCGGCCAGTGCATCCGGCGTGGCCTTTGTCCTTGCCTCTTGTTTGCAAGGCTGACAGTCCTTGAGCTCCTTGGTCTGACGCAGCGTTGTGGGCTGGTGGCTCCATCTGTGCCAGGTCTGTCTTCCATGGTCCTCAACAGGGGTAAGAGAGGCACCTCGGCAACTTTCACCATACAGTCACTCAGTCCGGTAGAAGCCAGCTCAGCAAAGGTCGGTATAAACGCTTGCAACCGACTGTTGCATCGGGGTTTCGAAGGCCACAAATCAGGAGGAACCCTTGTACATTGAAAGCTGCTGCTGCGCATGAAGCAGCCAGCGGAGCCAGCGATCCCAATTCGAAAGGCAAGCAACCGAGTCAGTTTGCTGGACGCGTCATTCCTTTTTGTTTGGTTTTGGGTTCGGTATGCTGGCAGCTTCAAAGCAACGCTCGGTCTCAGCGAGTGGGGTTCAGAATTTAGTCGCTGGGTGCCCTTACCAAAAACTGACGATGTCCCGGGATTTCTTGTGTTTCCTGACTGTGTTTCCTGACAAGATAACGCGAATGAAGAACACGACGACAAAGATCGATTCCCAGCTTCTGATTCCAGGGTCCTGACACCTGGCAAGATTCTGCAGGACAGGGGGCCCGTCATCCACTGGGAGAAAGATGAGCGGTCTTGCTGAAGCCCTGAACCAGCCTTTCCAAGGTGTCAGATGAGCTTGGCGCAGTGCTGGCACCTCCATTCGATGACGACTTTCGTGATCATCGGTACATTCGTCGGCGCGACCGTCAATTGGAACGCGATCGCTACCGTCATCGGGACCACTATCATCATTGGGAGCACGAGCACGAGCACGAGCACGAGCACGAGCACGAGCACTACCGTCATCGGGACCCCGATGATTGGGAGCACGAGCACTACCATCATTGGGACCCCGATGATTGGGAGCACGAGCACTACCGTCATCGGCACCCCGATGATTGGGTGTTCGAGCACTACCGTCATCGGGACCGCGAGCAAGGGTTGAACTGTTCGTGCTGTTCTTGCGCTGGTATGCCTTTGTCTATGGTTCTTCCGGGCTTTCAAGTGCATGCGAGCCATACCTGAAGTGTCCTGAGATCACTATGAGACTCCCTGAGGAGCCGGCTCCACCACCACCGCCACCACCGCCACCACCACCAATTGGACCCTACGGAGTCCTGTGGCACGTGGCTACAGGCAGGGTCAACAGCGAAGTCTTCGACGATCTGGGCGAGGCGCAAGAAAGGTTTGCAAAGCTTAAGGGTGGCCCGTATGCCGCAATGATGGCTGACAGCATGTTGAAGGAAATGCACTACTACGGAGGACTCTTGTTTCATGTTGTGACTGTGCTGTCCGCATCAAGTACTGAGACCCCGCAAGAGCATCTTGACACAAAGCCCGCCTTCCTGTAATTCTTGGCCTAACACCAGGGACCCCTTCTCAAATGAGATTACTTTGCCCATGGATGGCACTGCTTTGAGATCGTTGGCGATCTGGAAAACAGCGAGTGTGCTCTAACTGGAGAGCCTGTGTGAGTTCATGTGTGACCTCCCCCCTTTTGGCCGTGCCAGCTTTTTGAAACCCATCACGCGAGCATTGTTGTTGCAAATTGGGGCAGGGTGCTGCGCCACTCCCAACCTCCCCCGCTTTGTTAAGCCGCACAGGCGTGCTTAAAATCATACGCGTCTTTTTGAAAGGGAGAACATTTTTTTTTGAGCATTTTTTTTGTTTTTTTTGGTGTTTATATATTTTTTTTATATTTTTTTGCTTGTTTTTTGCCTTTCTCATGGTTTCTGCCTATACTTTTCGCTTTCTGCTTTTCGCTTCGCTTTTGTATTTGCTTTTGCTTTGCAAATTGCTTGTCGCTTTTTGCCTCTCTATTTGCTTGTCGCTTTTTGCTTGTCGCTTTTTGCTTGTCGCTTTTGTTTTTGCTTTTGCTTTTACTTTTCCTGTTGCTTTTTCTTTTGGTTTCCTTTTGCTTCTGCTTCTGCTTTCACTTTTTCTCTTATATAGCTCTTTTTTGTGTCAGGTCATTTTTTTGCTTTCTGCTTTTGACGGTTGCTTTTGCTTTTCCATGTTTGCAGTATATCTAGTGTATGCATGTAGTGTATATGTATATCGTACTTATGTATAGAGAGACTCTATATGTATATAGTGTTATATACACATGTAGTATATCTAGTGTAGTTTTTTTGGTTCATAAGTCATTTCTATGTAGTATATATAGTAGAGCATACATGAGATATGTATGATATATTGGCTATATAGACATATATATATATATATATGTATATGTATATATATATATAAATAAAAGATTTCACCACGTTGGATAAGTTCTACGCGAATCTTGAAGTTTCGCTCTTGGACGTAACCGAAAACCAGTTGTCTCCGCACGTTGTCCTTCAAACCGACTACATCATCGCGTATACTGATGGCTCATGCCCCAATAACCGTCAGGTCTCCTTTGATAATCCGGCAGGCTGGGGTTTTGTCCTCACGACCTTTCCACACGACTCCCACCCCCCTTTTGATTCTCACTGGGTTCCCTCCTGTGGGAAAGTACGATCTAACTCCCCAAACTCGGAGGTACCCTTGATTGGATCTAATAATACTGGAGCTTGTGGAATTATTTGACTATCTCCTGTATTACGCCAACTACCCTAGAGGCTCCCGCATCATAGTCTATACTGATTCCCAATATGCCCGTGACCTCCTATTGGGCAGTTCTATTCCAACTTCACACCCACAGCTTGTTCACCTAGCGCAACAATATTTTGTCGCTCTTCGCACGCAATATCACGTTGATTTAAGGAAGGTTCCGTCCCATGTAGGTATTCCCGGGAATGAAATTGCCGATAGACAGGCTAAACAAGGTATCTACACTCGTTCGACGTTGGGTAGATTCAGTACTACTCCGGCTGCTAGTCTCTCTCCTCCTGATATGGGTTACAACTTCGACATATGGTCACATATGACAGTGGAGGCCCAAGATGAAACGTTTACTAAACTCATGACCCAATCGCTAGCACTCGTACCGTGCCTTCCTCTTGCCGCAAAAAAGCCTTGGATATCTTCGCACACTCGCTTCCTCATCAAGACATTTCAACAGACTCATTACACGGACCTTTCCCAGCTGAAGCTCAACCGTAAACGAATAAAAAAGAGCGCTCGCAACGATAAAAAGCTGTTCATCTCAAATAACCTGTATACGGATTTCCACGTTAGTAACGTTAACCAGTGGCGTCACACCCGACAAATTAAATCTGAATTTCGTCCCCGTTCCACCGGCCTCTTCGACGTATCGGGCTCTTTAGTATCTAAAGATAAGCGAGCATCTACATTTGCGGATTATCTGGCCCAAAAGGTCTGGTTCTCCTCTTCCGACCCAGTTGTACCTGCCATCGCACAATACGACTCCTGATCCCACTATGGATCGCCCGTTTACCATGACGGACCTCGATCTAGCGTTGCGTAAGCTCAAACCCGGAAAATCTCCCGGGCCCAATGCCCTTCCTGGCGAACTCTATCGTCATGCTCCATATATAGTCAAGATGTATCTCCTAGATCACTATAACCAATGCTTTGAAACATGTACCGTTCCCTCTAGCTGGCTCTTTTCGGAAGTAGTAATGTTGGTCAAAGACCACAATAAGGATACCAGGCTCCGTTCCAACTACAGACCCATCTCGCTTACAAATATCTCCTACAAAATTGTTGCTTCGATGATACAGTCCAGGCTTCAGCAGTATATGGACAGTCGCCTCCGCTCTACTCAATTTGGTTTCCGCAAACACCGGTCTACGTCTCAGCCAATTCATGTACTCCGGCGCCTCATTGAGGTTTTTGAACGTCAGACTTCCTCCTTTCATGCCCTGTTTTTAGACTGGTCTAAAGCCTTTGATTCAGTCACTTTTGCTGCTATCCGCTCCTCTCTTGAGTATATGGGAGTCTCCCAACATTTACAACAGCTTATCATGTGTTTATATTCTGACCCGACTTTTGTAGTTAGGGATTCTTCTCGACGCTCTTCCATCTTCACTCAAACCAAAGGGCTTCGTCAGGGATGTCCGCTCTCCCCTTATTTGTTTAGTTTTGTGCTGACTCATCTATTTGCGGACGTGGAATCTAAATATCAAGAAATTTATGGACAGATAGCAGGAGTATTCCAAGTCCCCTACCCTCTATGGGATTTAGAGTATGCTGATGACACAGTTTTACTCTCCTGCTCTGCCTCGCAATTAGATCGTCTCCTCCACCTTGTTCAATATTATGGGGCCCAAAGAGGCCTCCATCTTAATGAAGATAAATGTGAACATCTCCGCCTGAACTCAGAGCAGCGGGTACATTACGCACCCAATCCCAGTCGGCTATGTGCATGCCCACATTGTGGTGGGGACATACCACAAGGCTCGCCCATACCTCTAGCTTCTGAGGTTAAATATTTGGGAGCATACTTGGATAACGACTGCTCCCATGATAAGCACCTACGTTACCGCATTTCGCAGGCGGTTTCTGCTGCTAAAAAGCTCAAACCTCTAATGTCTCATTCGTGCCTGCCTCCATCCTGGAAACTTCTCGTCTACCGATCCATAATACAGTCAATACTTATGTACTCAATGGAAAGTGTACAACTTTCCCCAGCCCAGCTAATACATCTTGATTCTATTTACTACAAACAGGTTCGAAGAATCTTTAAAGTTAAATCCTCCTTTTACCATCGGGTTATCGAACCTACAGAGGCAGACTGCTCCAATCAGTACCTCGCAGATCTTGCTTTTTCCTCACGACGTGTCCAACCGCCCTCTCAGGTCTACTCCCATCAGCGTTTGCAACTGTTTGGACACCTCCTAAGACACCGAGATTCCCTTGAATATGCTTCCACCTTCCAGGCCGCTACAGCGTACAGACATGTCACAGGTCACAACAGACGCGGTCGACCCCGAGTACATTGGAGTGAATCCTGTATGACGGAGGCATCCTCCCGTCTCTCCCACCTGAATCGGATGCAGCTCCAGCGCATACCAATCTTGCTCATAGTTTCTTTTCTATTCCGTCGGCGGAACATGTCCGGCACAGCCATTCTTCCGTTTCCTTGGTCCATATGGACAACACCCTACTTTACAGGCAGGTTGCTAAAGCTGCTCTAGATCGTTCGGTTTGGTCTCAGGTTCTACACAAACCTCCTAGACCACTGACTAAAGGGCGTGCGAATTCCTAGTTCCAGAAACCTAAGACCCTGAAAGCTGCCTTCTTAAGATGCGGTTTCACCAGCTCTTCTGACGATGGCCGTCTAGTTACTTACCATGGTTTATTAGCTTTGTTGTTTCTTTTTCGTGACAAGTGGCCTTTTTCAGAAGTAATCAATCAGTTTTCTCACATGCCGGTGCCGATGGGCACGACGCAGTGCCTCGCGCAGTCCAAAAAAAAATATACAGTATATAACGGTATCCGTTATAATAGTATGAGAATAAGGTAAAGAATGCACGCAGATTCTCATAATATTATAATACGGGGGCTTCTTCATTCCTTTCCTAATTTTGCTTGTTGTTCAATTGAGTTCATGCGTCATTCATATCTTCACTCCTTATAACTCAATTAAACAAGCAAAATAGGAGAAATGGAATGAAGAATCCAGTAAAATAGTATTACGGGCGAGTGAAAAGATCTTATGTTCGCCCGTACTACGTTCATAATATTATAAAAGCCCCTGTGATTTTAGTATTCTTATAGGGTTTTTTACTAATAATGGAGGTTTTCCTCGGAAAACACCAAGAAAATGAGCACCGGTAGTAAAACCCAAGTTCCAAGAAACCAACTCCCAAATTAATTCTACGGTCGTACCTGCGTGAGTTCATGTGTGACCTCAGCCTTGAAGACCGTCCGGGCTACTTAAGCAAGCCGCTCTCTCTGTAGGGGCTGGTGAAAGTCTTGCGCTGCTTTGGAGCTAAGTGCTACCAGACCTTCGAGATTTTCAGGAGATCATGTCAAGAGCGAGATGAAGGAGTTCTGGAAAAAGCTCAAGGCACGCGTGTTTCTGAGTTCGAGTCTGAACTTTTGACCTTGGCTTTGGGCAGGCATCTGTTGGTCCTTATTGGGTTCTGTGGCACATCGACCGAGAGAAAGTGAAAGGAGAGCACTTTGGAAGCTATGGTGAAGCCCAAGCGAAGTATGATGAGATGGATGGTGGACCGTATGCCACGATTCTGGCTGACAGCAAGTTCAAAGAGATGAAATACTATGGACAACGCTCGTGCCAGGGTGCGCTGAAAGAGTTCTGGCAGCATGAGCAGGCCTGAGTTTAAACAGCGCAACTCGCGTTCACGGCAAGCAGTGCAGACGTCCCGCAGCAGGAATGTCGCAGCATGGAAGTGACAGCGATCAAGATAAAGCAGAGCAGCCCGGCTGGTTCTAGTGGTACTGTTCGGTCCATTTTACTTCCGCACCATCGCGTAAGTCTGCGGCTGGCGGGGTCGTTGTGGACTGTGTGATTGCTCCTTACTGCTCGTCAGGTGGGCAATGTCTGCATGTTGAATTTGTCCGAGCCGACGTGCCAAGAGATGGAGACGAAGGAAACAATGAAACGTTCATCTTGCGACCGCGTGAGGCTGATTGTGGAATGGTAAATGCTCCGCATCGCCTGCCTCAGAAGTGCCAGTTAGTCGTCAAAGTTTCGAGTTGTTGAAATGGGGGGCGCATGGGGTGGCCGTTCGTCTAGTTTCGCTTTGGACCCGTATCAATCGGAACAGATGACCAGACGCCTGCTAGCTCAGGGACCTCGGCGGAGTTAAAAGTTCAGGGTGTGGGTTGACTTCCATGGCAAGCACATGGCGACTCTGGTCTTGAGGTTGTGCAGCAAATCCGCGGGGCGCAAAGCGATCACTTGCTGGGCGTGCAATTTGTGACAAACCATGGCCGCGAGTCTGTCGTTTATGGAGACGACAGCAAGGGCAGGAAGTTTGCGTTTAAGGCTCGCTTTGCAATTGCGATTTCCCTTGCAGCTGTCAGTAACGTTTCACGAAAGCTTAGCGACATTACTTGTTGATGGATCACGCAGTTCAGGCGAAGCCCGGCCAGTTCGTTGCCGGTTTGCTCCTTGCTTCTGGAGCTTGTCCGCGGATTACGGGGCTGTCAGGGTGCCGAATGCAGGCTATCGATCCTTCCCTCAAGTTGCAAGACTGGATGGGAAGCAAGGGCGTTTGTGATCGCTGGGGGGCCATCTCGGTGCGCTCTGGATGCCAGTGCAAGGTCGGCCACAGGACTTCTCAGAGGTGTGGTTGGGCCTTCCCCGAAGGCACTGTGTTCACTCCAAGGAAAGGCAATTGCGAGCCACAGTTTTGCAGTTGGTGGTTTGACTCTTGCAAATGCAAATCTACTGGCGTTATATTCCAAGAAGCAGACCACGGGCGTTTGCCAACCACAGATGTTGGCATTGCGGCCGTTGATTTCTGTTCTCGGCTCTTTGAAGAGGTAACCAAGCAGGAGTTGGAGAATGGGAATGTCGAATATGGACAGGCGCACATAAATCTTGGATCTTTGCCGCAAAAACTAGGAGGCAGCGTCAACCGATCCTTGGAGGACCATAACGCAGAGCAGTACTGCGAAGCAGCATTGTCTGGAAGGAACGGAAGGACGGGTGCTCGCCTTGCAGTGGACCAACTTCTCCACCACGTGAGTGACCAGCAGCCCACCACAACGAAAGCACCGCCGCGATACGCAGAGATTGTGAAGATTGAGGAGGAGCCCGAAGAGGACAATTCAGACACGTCCTCCTGGCAACACTCGCTTGGAGAGGTCTGCCGAGAGGAGTGTAAGGAGATTCTAGCTGCTGTCAAAGAAGAGAGCCGGAATATCCTCATTCAGGAGGTGACACGCGTTGAGCCGTTTGAGTCGACATGCTCCGATTTTGTAGTCAAGCGGGTGGAAGCACACTTGATGGGCTGTTGTGAGAAGGCTTGCGGATGGAATGGCAAGGCGTGCACCTATTGGCCATTCATGAAGCAGCCATCAAAAGTCCGATGGCATCAAGAATGCTGCTCTGAGTGGCCTGGCGAGTGATTGGCACGCTTTCGTTGTTCTGAGCAGGCTGCCTAGATATATAATTTGAGGTGGCAAGCCTTCCTGGTCTTCTTTTGTTGATTTTCCTCCCGAGGTGGAATACGATTCGCTTCTCGGACCGCGAGATCATGTGTGATAGCGTGCTCCCGAAAGAGAAGCGCACCCTCATGGAGCTGATCGATGCAGCCGCAAAAAACAAGGGCCAGGCCTCTGAACTTGGACAAGATCTGAGGCTCTTATGGACGGAGCTGGGTGCCAAATCTCGGTTTGGCAAAATCGCCTGGGCAAACCCAAACGAAGAAGTTGATCCGGATTTCCTCGCCACACAGCCTCTCACTGTGAAGGAGGGCATTGACCTGAAATTTTGGGAGATCAAGTTCATCCCTCGATCCGCGTTGTTCCAGCTGAATGCCCACTCAGCTCAAACAGCTGGCGCTGGCTGTGATGGGCTGTGGAGCATCGGGTGCGGCGACGTTGTAAACAGCGTTGAGGAGGACTGTGTAGAGACGAACAAGTGGTACGAGCTTCCAGGTGGTGAGCATGAAGTGTTCAAGAGTGCATGGGCTTTTTCAGACCTCACGGGGGCGAAGGATCCGATCAAGTGCAACCAGGAGTTCGTCAAGTACAAGGGAAAGAAGTACAACAACAAAGATGTCGTGACTGTGACCTTTGAGATGGAATCCAGGACATGCAGACTTTTCCATAGCCCCAAACAAGAAGATGCGATCAAGTTGGATTCGTTACTGAAGACAGCGAAGGCACACACTGAAGACGATGATATCGACGACGACTTGTTGGAGAAGGTCTTCATTGGGAAGGAGGCCTGACAGTCTCTTCAATATGGCTTTGCAAAAGGAGGCCTGAGCAGCTGCTGGAACAAAATCTCGCGACGTGTGAGCATCCTTGCATCGCTGGCTGCTGATAGCGAACAACTGAGGAGACATTGTAAGGCACTGCACCACGAATGATTCCACAGGAGGGGTCCTTTACCCACTCCTTCCCGTGCACACCACTGGAGTTCGATTTCTCGAGCGTGATTTGAGCAATGATCACCTGTAGCGGAATGCCCGAGGATCCCAAGCCGTAATCCACATACTGCAAATCACAACAGCAACTATATAGGTTGCAGTGTCGCAGTTTGGGTTCCCATTGTGTGGGCTTGTAGCATGTGTTTGTAAAGCTTCAAGCGATGTGCAGATGTTGAATCAACAGCCCGATATGGGTATTTTCGATAATTGTGTTACTCTATTCATTCGGCGCTGACTGTGGATAGCCGCTAAACTAGGACTCAAGAATATTGTTATAAACAGTACCAACATTAAACATGGAACTATGCCAAGATGTTGCTTTCTATTGTGCTTCCCAGTCCCCGATAAACTATGGACACTATCAGGTTCATCAGCGATGTTACTTTACCAAAAGGTGCCGTTTCTTATTGTGTATATGACCACGTTAAATGTGAAGGAACCGCCACTTTCCAATAGCTTTGCTGCCACTGTTCTAGATGAAGTCAAGTTCAGATGTCATTGGTTTGTTAACTTTGTCTTGATGAAATGACACCAGCGAGACCAGAAGCAAACAACGCACGCAACTGAGAGCCAGGCATACGTTGAACATAGTTGCGCACTGTCTGATGCCTGATGGCTGCCTGGGTGCATCGAGACAGTGGAGCCTCCTTCACCCCCTTTTCAAAGATCACGCCCCTCCCTGCTTTGCTTGATGTTATGTTGTTCTTTTGCGGGGCTGCTGCCGAGCATTGCGGCTGAGCAGATCTTTCGTCAGACCACGTCAGCGCATTGAGCCATGGAGCGTGAGTGAAAGTAACTGCAGGATCTTTCGCCTGAACATCCAAACATAGTATCTCTTGCTACTTTTTGTTTTCTGAGTCTTAATCAAATCTGCGCTTGTGCCTGAGCTTGCCTCCTGTTGGAGGCCAGCTTGATGTTGTTGTTGTCCCAACATGCAAGCTTCACAGGCCAAATTTTGTGTGAGTTCCCGGGCCTTAGCCCGAAACCCCAAACCCCAATCCAAAAGCCAAGGGTGGGCACGGGAAGCTTTAGTCAACAGAGATGGTGGGACATTTCTCAACCACGTGTTTAATGCAGAAAGGTCATGGCGATGGTCGACCGGCTCGAGGACGACGACGTGGCATGGCGCCGGCATGTGATTGTCTCAGGGTTGCCAGCGGCGCAGCTACTTTTGTTTGTTTGCCCAAAGGCTTGCCTTATGCGCAGTGTTGTTTTGATGGGTTGCCCACTTCGATGCATTCGCCAGTTGCCGACGTTGCCGAGGCACTGATGGAAATCGATCCTTGCGAGGCTGTCCAAACCTTGGCAGAACATTGCAAGGCGCGTTTCGTTTCATGTCGCACCTTGAGAACCGCTTATCTCAGGAGCCACAGTCCTTGACCAAGATGGATCGACCCGACGAGATTACCGCAGTCAGTGCATCTGGCGTTTCTTTGCTGCAGGCATGCACACGTGATCACCACAGTCCACAGATTCATTTGCAATGCTGCGTTCTCCGCCCTGTGCACTTCTCAAGGTGGACGAGGTAGACAGGGACGAGAAATGTGAAACGGAGCTTCAGTTTGACTCCGCCTCCGATGAGCTCGTGCAGACCGACTCGAGCCCTCTTGCAAAGGTTGAGCAGGACGTGCACCGAGAAAGAGAGCAGTCGGAAGCAACCCGAGCCGAGTCGCCGGAGTCGTTGAATGTTGAGTCCACGGATGATTCTGTCCACGCGACGAACGACGGCCCAACGTGCCTTGGTGTTCGTGTAGCCGTGTAGCCGATGGTGGGCACATGTTTCAGCGATTTGATGGCACTCTAAGGCATGACCCTCATCATGAGAATGCCACGCACCAGGCCAAAGAGGTGCGACGAGATGCCGTGTGCTGCGTCGCAGCGTCCGACATGTGTTGTCAGGAGGTGGATCAGCAGCCAGACTTCACGGAGCAAGCTGCAGAGGCTCCCCAGAGCACCTTGCGGGGAAGGGAGGGAGGGAGAGAGAAAGAGAGAGAAAGAGTAAGGCAGCGAGGTGTTACATAGAGAGCATTAGTGATGGCACCTGTCTTGCTGAGGATGACTAGAATTTCAATTTTGCAAGTTGTGCACGAGATGCATAGGTATGGTATTGTTTTGAGGTCATTCAGCCGAGTCGAAAGGAGCACATCGAGGCAACAAAGGCTGAAGTTCCGGGTCGACCTGACGTGCAGAAGGAGGTTCCCTGTTTCGAGCGTGCCGTTGGTTAAAGCACGTCGGAGCAGTGTAGCAGCCCATTTTCTGCGATGGCTGCAGGAGCCAAGGGAGCCGGCCGAGAAACCGATTCACAAGATGCGCCGCTTCATGCAGGTGTCTCGCGTCCCACGCTCCGAACGCTCCGAACGCTCCAACGAGGCAGGGTTTCAGGAAGCATCGGCCTCTGCCGTTCTTTGTGCGACCTCAGTGCAGGAGCCAAAGGATCTACCGCGCAGCGCCAAGAGCGCGAAGAGCGCGAAGAGTGTCAAGAGCGCCAAGAGCGCGACGAGCGCGACGAGCGCGACGAGCGCGACTGTGAAGAGTGACAGCAACGAGTGCGGGGTCCTCATCTTCTTGCTGTGGCAGTGGTCTGGCACCATCATATCATAACAACCTGTCAGAGGCACCACGAAGGAGTCGGCACCCACAATGGTCATGGACATACAGCAGGCGTGAACCTTATTTGTCTGCTTTCTTCAATGGCTGGTACTGCTTTCTGGTTTCACTTCTATCTTTCATAGTAACTAAACTACAGCCTACAGCCAGCACTCTGGAGTATCATGACGTAAACCTCAGGAGGGGCTTCGCAGTCAAGGCATACACAGCTCCATGGCTCCGCGTGTCTTGAGGAAGCGCATGCAGGGCACGCGGACGAGGCCACCACTAGTCCTGGCTGGCAGCTCAGGTGTGCATGTGCGTGTCGCTTGTGAGGACTCAGGGTCGTGAAACTCGTGAAATGTGGCGTCAGTGTGCTATAGGTGCCCACCAGGAGACGGAGGTGGTGGAGGCACACAGCCAAAACATGAGACCCACATTTGGCTCGATGAGCTAGCCTCCTGAGGAGGGCCAAGGCCTACAAGCCAGCGCAGGTGGGCTCATGTATTGGCTCCAGAGTGGCTCTGTGTTTTGCGTGATTTTGCGTGCCTGTGCTGGCGGGGGCGTGGGGTGCATGTGCGTGTGGGCACTGTGTACGTGTGCATGTGGGTTTTTTTTTGGTAGTTTTGGTGGTATATCGGTCTTCTTGCAGGTGCTGATGTCCCGCAGGTTGCTGAGGACTCTGAGGCTGTGGTGGGACGATCGCAAGGTGCGTGAGCCTGTGGAGGGTGGTGACTTGGACGTGGCCCTTGGCCGTTCCGTAGGCTTGTTCTGTCTGCACAGGTGAGGAGGCGGAGGAGCAGTCAGTGGATCCGAGTCCCATCCAGGCATCTGCTGGAGTCGCGTTTCCGGCATTGTCGGGTGTTCCTGAATGTCGTGGTGCTCAGGAGCCTCCAAGCAAGGAAGTGGAAGGCTGTATCGGGAGTTTCAAGTCTATCTGTGGCACCCAATACGCATCTTTCGTTGTCGCGCCCACAGGCGACGAGCCCACAGGCGACGAGCCCACAGGCGACGAGCCCACAGGCGACGAGCCCACAGGCGACGAGCCCACAGGAGGCGAGCCCACAGGCGGCGAGGTTACAGGCAGCGAGCCCACAGGCGGCGAGCCCACAGGTAGCGAGCCCACAGGCGGTGAGCCCACAGGTGGCGAGCCCATAGGCAGCGAGCTCGCAGGCAGCAAGCCCACATTCGTCGAGCTTACAGGCTTCGAGCTCACAGGTGGCGAGCTCACATGCAGCGAGCCCACAGGCGTCGAGCCTACTGGCGGAGAGTTCGCAGGCGAGCCTGCAGGCGGCGAGCTCGCAGGCGGCGAGCCCGCATGCGGCGATCCCACAGGCAGCGAGCCCACCGGCGGCGATCCCACAGGCAGCGAGCCCACCGGCGGCGATCCCACAGGCGAGCTGCCTGAGCAGGAGCAGCCCACGAAGGACTCCACGGCCTGAGGCTTCTAAGGTTTCCTTCGTTATCCTTCTGATTTTGGATCTCAGGAGCCAGCTTGCGTGGATGCTGAAGGTTCTGGCCTCGTTGCTGCACCTCACGTGCCTGGCACTTGCTTCTGAGCTTCGTGACCAGATTGACCAGCCCAGGTGCAGGTGGTCCTGAGCTCGCAGCTGTTGCGGCAGAGGTCTGCTGTTGACACAACTATAATAAATAGGAAGACCCTGACCAACCTGCGCAGGTTAACGCCGTAAATCGCAGCAGCACTCCCAAACATCCCTGGCCCCTGATCGCCCCGAAGCCTGACAGCCAATATAAAAACAACTGGGTGGGGTGGAGTTCTGACCCGTTTTGGTAAGGAATTCACAAGATGGAGATTCCAAGGGTCCCAGATTTAGATCAACATCCCTTTAGGATGCTGTGATGCCCTGAGGGCCCTAGGCAGAATCACAGATCCCAAGGCAGGCCTCGACTGTTTTGCCGCGGGTGTGTAGGACTTAGGTTCAAGGCTTAGGGTTGTAGAGTGTAGGGTTAAGGGCTTAGGGTTCAGGGAGTGTGCAATGAAGGGGCTTCCGGATTCAGTCAACTACATGTGGGTCCAGCCCAGGGGTTCCCGTTTGTTTTCTCGGCTGACTTGTTCCACGAGCCGGGTCAAGCTCACCACGTTCAAATTACGAGTTCGCGCGTCCTGGGTACGAGGAAGCTGCACGTCTCCGAACCCCTGAACTTCCTAAAGCTTCCAAGACCTCGACATGCGAGGAACCCGAAGACCACACCACCCAGCACTTGCCGAAGGGAGCCTCGGATGGACTTGACGAAGCCTTCGGGATTTCAGGATGTCTCTGCACCTTTCCAGCTGCGTTTGGGGGCTCTTTTGGGTTCTTTGACATCAGGGTCCCTTGGGCTCCCTTTGTCTGCGGTCCTTTCTAAAGGGTGGTAGAAAGAATCCTTGGTCATGAGCACATTGTGAATCTCTGCGTGGCCTTGCTAAGCCCCACCCCCATTCCTTTGGCCTAAAACTGCCCTGAGGCCCATAACCCAAAAAGAAACATGTTTTGGAAGGACCTAAACCCTAAACCCTAAACCCTAAACCCTAAACCCTAAACCCTAAACCCTAAACCCTAAACCCTAAACCCTAAACCCTAAACCCTAAACCCTAAACCCTAAACCCTAAACCCTAAACCCTAAACCCTAAACCCTACAAACCCTAAACCCAGGTGAGCCCGCAGAGAAGCCTGCGGAGCTCGTGGAGCCGGGCGCAACGAGCCGGGATCGTCGGATCTGGGGAGTTCGCATGTTCTGGGAGCTGGGAGCTGGGACTTTTTGGGGGAGGGCCGGGATGTGGAAGAAAAAGCTAGTAGAATAATATAGAAATACTAGTACAATAGTATAAACATATTTACTAATATACACTTCTATGTTAATGTACATGTAAGATGTGAAGTTTCGGCTGTTAGTGGGGTCATGGCTCCTGAGTGTTGGGGGATTGGCATGGCTTTGGGTGTGGATCTTTGGGTTCTTGTGGTAACGAGGCCGATCTGCATTTTACAAGGCTTTGAAGGGGTTTAGGGTTTAGGGTTTAGGGTTTAGGTGGACACGGAATTTGGTTCAGGCTGCGTCAAGGAGTTTAGTTTCGACGGTCATGAAGATGGCCGTTGTATGTCTCTGTGTGTGTGTGTGAGCGGCTTCACGTGGGCTTCATTCTTGCCGAGGCTTTCTGAGGAGCTTGCTTGGTCAGTGTGTTAGCATGGAGAGAGCGTGCGTATGAGCAACAGTTCATCGTGACAAAGGTGCCAGTCAGCAACCAGAGAAAACGACGGCCCACGCCTCAGTAGATGGTCTGTCTCGAATGGTGCAAAATGTTTCTAAAATGTTTCGCCGGGCGAACCAGCATAGCACCGCCGACATCCGCAATAGAATGAAGTGCTGCGTGCATGAATGTCGTCGAAGCTGGTATGTTGTAAGCTTTAAAGAGACACAAGTGGACAGGTTTGAGATTCTCTGTTCCTGGCTCTGCAGGCTCGTGGGCGAAAGAGCCGGTCGAGAAGGCGGCGTTTGGATAGCTTAGACCGCGCACGCAGCTACATAGTTTTCATGCCTTGAGCCCTAGCGGTTCCGGTCCTGGATGCTGTGAAGAACTCCTTCCAACCTCTTGAAGCCACTATGCACATCCCGAACAACTTCAATAGATCCCCGATCGGCCCTAACTCGCAGGTCCCGGTCCGCGGGTCCGGCAGCGCAGGCCATCAGCCCAGGGCAGTGGCTTCAGGTGGATTCGATATTTCAAATTCCGAGTTTTTAGATGCCCCTAAACCCCTTCTAAACCCCCTAAACCCCTAAACCCCTTCCAAACCCCTTAAACCCCCCCTTAAAACCCTCCCAACACCCCTGCGAAACCCCGAAACCCCTACCAAATCCCCCTAAACCCCCTTTCACCCCCTCAGCAGTCCACCTGCAGGCAAAAGACCTCCCCCAGGAGACTCCCAGTGAGACCACCGGGCATGGCGAGCTCGCCAGGCAAAGACAGTGATGTTTCGAGGTTGCGCGTTTCTCCTACCCTAAACACCCTACAAACCCTACAAACCCTGCAAACCCTACAAACCCTACAAACCCTAAACTTTACCTAAACCCTACAAACCCTACAAACCCTACAAACCCTACAAACCCTGAACCCTCCCCACCCAGCAGCTTTAGAGCCGTGAGAGCCTCGACCTTGGTAGGCGTGTTTGGCGCGCCTCTGCGGCTCCCAGGCGCCGCCGGCCGCATTCTTTTGGAGCTGTTTTGCATGGATTCGGATCCCCAAACCCTAAGCCCTAAACCCTAAACCCTAAACCCTAAACCCTAATCCCGAAACCCTAAACCCTAAACAAAAACACCCAACAAACCTTGACCTTGCTGAGAAGGTCAAGAAGCGCAGCTCCGGCTTCGGACGGGTGCTTACGGAAGAGCCACACCATGAGGGCTTGGGGTTTGGGATTTAGGGTTTGGGGTTGAGGGTTTGGGGTTTGGGGTTAGGGGTTTAGGGTTTTGGGATTAGGGTTTGTGCTTCCCAAGGTTAGTCCTTGCTACTGCTAACAGAGGATGCAGGTGCGCAGTGACTCCTGCCACCCTCTGCAGCATCCTTCTCTAGGAAAACGGAGTTTCGTCTGCCAATCTGTTTTTTGCTGAGGAGACTACTTCCCGCCATGCTGCGACACCGGCAGGAGGTTCCGCCTGCAAGAAGTGCACAAAGGTTTTTCTCGCGCTTTTTGGAAACCCCACACTGCCTCCTCAGCGGGGCTCATTCAGAAGCCATTGCTACCCGAACTTCTGGGGCCCTTGTGAGCATGTGGCCCTGTCCGAGGTTGCAGCAACAAGGCCCTGACCCCCTCCTCCCTAAACGTTCACTGCCCAGCTCCGAAAAGAACCAAACAAAGTCCGAGCCGCAGGCCTCAGACCCTCTGGCCGCGCCCGCCGCCAGGACAACAGCAACAGGCTATCCAACTATTCCCGAACCTTCAAACTCGCAACCCAGATGTTGGGGAGCCGGGCTAGGTCTTGCGGGGGTGCGGGGCTGGGGATTTGGAAGTTTTGGATCCTAGGTTCGAAGATTGTGGTTGAGGGGTTTGGTTCATTGTCGTTGACGGTTGAGGGGCTGTTGGGTCAAGAGTCTTGGGTAGCGTCGGAAGTGGCAGCGGGGCTTTTGCGACTGCAAGGTGGTTCTTGAGATTGCCAAAGACCCGTTCAAGATCAGCTTCCTTATGCTTTTAGGGTGTAGGGTTTAGGGCGAACATTCAGCACGTTCCACTCGACGCAGGCGCGTGACTCGGGGCAAGAACGGCCCGAGGTCGCTGTCGCCACATGAGAAGGCAAATTCCCAAGCAGTAGGGGAACCACTCTCCTGTTTCAGGGGCCCAGGGGTTCAGGGTTCAGGGTTCCGGGCCGGGGTTCAGGGTTTAGGGTCCAGGGTTTAGGGTTTGGGGATGTTTCGGGTTCGGGTCAACACGTCTGCTCTAGGTCTACATGTTCGCCTTATACAGGGGAAGGGGGACCCTGCACGTGCTGCTGTAGGCGGAGGATCCTCCAGCTGCAGGCCCCGCCGCACTCAGTGTTTGTTGGGTATGTGCGGGATGTGTTAGATGGAGAGGATGTGAAGGTGGTGGCTGCGGGATGGCTGTTGAAATTCACGGCTGCTGCAGCTGCAGTGCTTTTGGCTCACGCTCAGGCAATTGCATGTGCACAGTTGCAAGGATTGCTTGTAGTACTGCTTCTTATTCTTATCCGAGCTAGGCGCAAGCAAAGCAAGGTCTGAATGCGTCTGAAGGCCGTTCCGCAAAGCACTTAAAGGAGGTGCCTGTGAGGCCTTGTCTTGGTCTCATGACTCGCGCCATGCGGCTCTCTTCGATGGTCCTGGTGATCCTTGCAGGAGCTCCAGAAGATAACTTGCAACAACAATGGCAAGCATAATTGACACAAAACCCCGAATTTTGTACATCATGCCGCCTTGCTTGAGAACCCGGCCTAGCTGCGTATTATGTTATTGTTATTCATAATTTTATTTCACCTGAGAACTCTTGCTGCAGGATCGCAGCTCCGCTTTGTGTGCGGCCCCCGCCGCATCGACGGTCCCCTGCAGAGGCACGATTCACAACATTCACCTACACCCCTCCAGGCTCTGTTGATTGCTGAACCCAAAAACCTGAACCCCCAAACCCATCATAAGCCCTAAACCCTAAGCCCTAAATCCAAAGCCCTAAGCCCCACCAGAAGCCCTAAACCCTAAGCGCTTGAACCTAAACCCCAAACCCCACCACCCAAACCCCAAACCCCAAACCCCAAACCCCAAACCCCAAACCCCAAACCCCAAACCCCAAACCCCAAACCCCAAACCCCAAACCCCAAACCCCAAACTAAGTGAGGGGTCGCTTCCGTCGAGCGACAGACCCCGAACGCTCGGCCGAGGGCCTTACAGCCCGAGCGCCCAAGCGAAAAGAGAAACGGAAAGGTGAGGGTTAAGCCTCACCGTCTGTCCTGGACAGGCCAACGGACATCGGCCTTTTTTACGACAACGTCAGTACTCGGCTAAGGGATGGCCGGCACCCAGACCACCTTTAGCGTAGCTAAAGTATAACCCCAAATCCTAACCCTTTGTTTCTGGAGGTCGGTTCAGGGTTTTGGGTTCAGGGTTTGTCGGGCCCCCCCCCCCGGGGGCCCCTGGTCCCTGGTAGCTGGATTCCTGGACCAGGAGGCTGGCGAGGGGTCCAGGCAGGCTGGT